GGGGGGAGATGTTCATGTTGCTGCGGTCTGCAGTCTGGACGTTAGATGTCGCTGAAAATTATACACTGTAGCTTTAAGGGTTTAAAATAGAGGGTTTTCGGATGTTTACTATTTTTAATTTGTTTTTTGTAGTTCTTTTCCAGGAGGCTGCAACCCTAATCTGGCAAGCATCCCCCATGCGCCTGTCCGTCGTGTTGTGACATTCTGTAAGAAGTTCCTTTTCTACCCTAGATCCTGCAAAATGTAAAGCGATAGGACCCAGGATCCAGAGGTAGGAGCTATAAGTTGCAGAGTTTAGCATCAGCCAATGTCTAAGGACAAGATCTGTAGCAATAACATAGACAAGATGTCTGACTTGCAAACATTTGGTACTTTTTCCTTTCAATCTTTTATTTTTTTATTTCTCTAAGCATCCCCTTTAGGGTCTGTGGCCGAACTGTTTTCCGAATTACATGTGTTAGTATAATTGTTGTGCTTGCAAGTCACATTTCAATGTGTTCTGATCTAATCTTTATATTAACAAAACTTTTTGAATTTGCTGTCTCATGTATTTGCAGGGCATTTGCCCCCCTTGACCACATTGCAGTGCTTTATCGGACAAAAGACTCACCTGATCTAAATTCCTCAGTGAATATCTGGTTTATTGTTGAGATAAAGGTAAGAAACACCAAATTCTATATTTAAAGCACCATGGGGTTCCTAACCAGCTTCTCTTTTATGGCGGCATTGATGCCGTAATTTAAACAAAGAATCCAGGCCAAATATTAAGGTCATAGACTAGATTAAATGACACCTAATAAATTTTTCTATTTCGTGGGATTAAAATGCATTTATTTATTACGTCAACAAAACTTAACATTTGTAAGGAACAGGATTGTAGTCCTGCTTCTATATTGAAACAAAACAGAAACATCATTATAATCCAGTAAACTGGGATAAAACCTCATATCTGTGATATTAGAGAATGTTTTCAGTCTCAAACCACTGATTGACTGTTAAATGTAATAAATCCTTCAGACATTTTTCTATGCTCTGATTTCCAGCAAATTCTCTTCTATGGCAGTATCAATAAAATCTCACAGTTCATGTTTTGTCATGTTATTAACCAAATTATTTTTAATGTAGTTAATTTTCATTTTCAAGTGTACCAAGAATTACAAAAACCGTTTCAGTGCTTTCTGAAAAAGATATACAGTTACAGTAAGCCTCATAGCTTAAAATAATCGAAAATAAATTGATTGATTGAACTATGAGTGATAAATATTAGATCAATAATATTTAGTGAGGCTTGATTCCCATAATGTCAATTGTTTATTTCATTTATAAGAGCAAAAATCAAAATACATGTTAATTAAAAATCTGTTTATTTTATACCATTTAATACTTGGCCATAATTTTGATCTTTTCTAACAAATATGATTACATTTCCGTATAAATAGAAGTAAATTAGTTAAAAAAAAAAAAAAATCAACTAGTATGAATAAAAATTTGGGCCAGTCTGTTTTTATGCACTCATGCTTTTCTTCCCGCTCTCGATTCCCAGCTAATAATCCCACCATTCCCGCATCATATGAGCTCAGTGTCAGAGAAGAAGGGGGGATGATGGGAATGATGATGGTCATTTGATCCGAGGTATGCATCACATTAGCCAGCACACAGACACATGACCCGAGGTCAGCAGAGGGGAAAAAAAGATGCAGAGGAGGATATTCTCAAAGTCCACACTAACAGGAGAAACTACTGGTTTCTGTTTATACAGGCAATGTTTTGTGAAGTGCAGTTAAATTTTCGGGAAATGTGACAAATAATTTTTTGTTTCAGATCTGATCTGTGGTAAACTTTCAGAGAAAACACGGCTTGAGTCATTCTGCTTGCAGGCTTGTTTACAGACTCAATGGGATTCTTTATATTGGTGCTCCAACTTCAATCACGTAAAGTATTTTCTGAAATTGTTGGAATCCCACAAAGACAGCATGCGTAGCTGCCACCGCTTCAAGCAGTCCTGCTCGGGGTATCCGCACTGGTCCAATGAGTCTAACAGCTTCAGTCCGTTCATCATTTGGTTAAAACAGGTGTTTGATCGTCTCAACAACAGTTGGCCTTCCTGTTTGGGTTCTGATGGGCCTCTGAGCCGTCTGTGATCTCTGTGCAACAACAAAAAAACGTTAGAGTCAGTTTATTTTCTGAGATATTTTTTATAGATGTAAACACTGATCAAAGGTTAAAGACAAAGTTAGGTGGTAGATTTATGAGTGTACCTGAACTGTTATTTTATTACTAAAAACATCAACAGATTTGATGTCATGAACCAATATGTAGTAAAGGGGAAGAGGTCAGCTTCAAA